TACCTTTAAAATCAAAAAACAATGTTTAATGTTTTAAATAATTATAATGATAGAAATTAAAACATTAAGCAAATAAATTTTGAAAAATTAGCTAACAATAACGAAAACTATAAATAACTTTAAACCATATATTATATTTAATTTAATCATGTGTAACTCGCGGGTAGAAGTCATTCAAACGATTAAGATTATGAAGTTATATTATATGTATATATTATCAAATAATTCAAAATAACCAATATATTATATCAATTTAGTATACGAATTATTATATCAAATTTAACAACAACGTTATTGTTATATTTAAAAAAACATATATTTGTAAAGACTTCAACTATATAGGTGTTTATGCGCAATGCGTGAGCATTCGCCTAGTACTATGTTATAAACGAAACATTTTTTCTTTCACCACATCAATTTGAAACTCCCAACTCTTCATATTTCCATCTAACTTACTTAATTTATTAACTTAAATATGTTGTTACTTATAAACATTATCATAAATGAAAGTCATCTTGAATTATCAATATGATATACTAATTTTGTTGACTTCAATATAGTGTTAAATACATAACCTAAATTAATAAATTAAGTAAACTTAAAAATATAGTGTAAAAATTAAAACCTAAACTAAAATATCAAATAAAGTTTTAAAAGTTCAACATATATTTTTCTTAAAATAGTTAAAAGGAAAATATTAGATACGATAAATATACAAATCTTAAATCTAAAAGTCGAATTAACTAAAAGATGTCCAAAAACTAATTTTTATAATTACTAAAATTCAATGAAGTTGTTTTAAAATTAATTTATAATAATAATTAAAAATAACATCATACTATGCTATAAAGGAAATATTTTTCTTTTCACCACATTAATTTGAAACTCTCAACTCTTCATATTTCCATATAATTTACTTAATTTATTAACTTAAATATGTTGCTGCTTATAAACATTATCATAAATGAAAGACATCTTGAATTGTCAACATGATATACTAAGTTTGTTGACTTTAATATAGTTTTAAATACATAACCTAAATTAATATATTAAATAAACTTAAAAATATAGTGTAAAAATTAAAACCTAAACTAAAATATCAAATAAAGTTTTAAAAATTCAATGTATATTTTTTAAAATAATTAAAAGGAAAATATTAGATACTACATTGCAAACAGTGGTTGATAATTTAAATAATCCATGAGGTATTTTGTCATTTACCATATCATTTTGAAACTCCTAACTCTTCCTATTTCTAAATAATATATTTAATTTATTAACTTAAATATGTTGTTAATTATAAATATTATCATAAGTTGAAGATTTCTTGAATTATCAATATGATATACTAAATTCGTTGACTTCAATGCATAACCTAAACTAATATTTCAAACAAACTTAAAAATAAAGTGTAAAGTTTAAAAACTAAAGTAATAAAAATCCAACATATACTTTTAAAATAGTTGAAAGGAAATTACTAAATATGATAAATAGAAAAACTAAAATTGAATTAAGTTGCTTTTAAATTAATTTATAATAATAATAATAGTTAAAGATAACATTAAATTATAAAATTAATTATGTTACATTACAAACAGTGGTTGATAATTTAAATAATATTAATGATGAAATTAAAACATCATCAAAAAAATTTTAAATTTAATAAATTATAACAATAGTTAATTAAAATAGTGAGTACTATACTTTTTTTTTTTCTGGAAAGAGAATTTTCTTAACGAGGGTTCCATGCACGAATAATCCTTCGATGCAAATATAAAGTTATGCATCATGCCCTAGAGTAGTGCAACAATTTAAATATGGGTCAATAATTTATTCTATATATATTTCATATGTCTTACTAAGTCACCACAACTAATTTTATAAATACGTATGACTTACTGTTGAAAAGCTTCAAAATGCAATAAGAATTCCACGCATATGTCTTACTAAGTCACCACAACTAATTTTATAAATATGGCCTTGGGCGTTCTCAATATCTGCCACCCAGCGACGGATGACAATAGGGTCCCTGACCCCGAAGAATTTCAGCGCTCCGCACGCCCTGAACTCCCGGAAGGAGGGAGTTCGGGTCCCAATCTGTCCTGCTGCCAACTCTATCCTAAAAGATCTAAGTCTCTCCTCCATAATCTCCATAATACCCTCCTTGACCGTCCTAAAAATGACTGGGGTCAAGGATGCCCCTGGTAACCTCGGCTGCAATGAGTTCTCGTAGCCTCTCGTCAATGACATCAATAGTGTCTCCCGATCCCGATCCTGACCCTCATGCTCCAAATTGCATCACCACCATGTTAACAAAAATTTCATAAACAACAAAGATCAAGATTTCCATATAAGGGATATTTCCACATAGGTCCTCATCGGGGTTGTCGGATCCATCAGTGCTTTGGGTACAGATCATCTGCTTCCAGTAGTACGGGCCCAATACTACCTTCCATGCCTACTTGTACCTTTCTCTACTGCTCAATCCGATAACTCCAATTCGTCCCATATCTAAACCATACCCCGCATTTACCGCACATCACCATCTCAGACCATCCTAAAAGTTCTTGTACCCATAGCAATCACGTCATCATAACAGGTTGCTCTTATGCATGCAAATTATACACAGAGAAGGGATCAAATAGACTTTCGAATAAAAGATTCTACCTTAAGACCACAACCAAACAAGGAACAGGAAATAATGCCAAATCAATCATTCTGAGACTATAAGCTCCTAACCGTATACAATTTTAAAAACATACACATAGAAAATTCCACATAAGCAACATGGTTCAAAATTAGTATAACATGGCAAGCATATATGGGAACTACTTACTTAGCTCGGATGATCACGCGCGTTGCACTCTCATCTTTTCATTTATAGATTATTATTTTGAAAACATTTCTACCATTCCTTAGTTTGAGTCCCGACACACTCGAGAGTGTGCCTGAATCCCTCAAACCAAGGCTCTGATACCAACTTGTAACAACCGAAATTTTACACAAAAAAATTTTCATTTAATTTAAATGACACATTGACGTAAAACCATGAACCTCACATTTAGTTTAAAACATCATTCATTACATTATATAATTTATCAGAGTGTGCCCCCGAACATATTAGTAAAAAGAGAGATAGATTGAGTGCACGTCGAGCCATCACGCCTTGCCCTTGCCTTTCGACTCCGATGTACCTGAAACAATTCAACAACCTGTAAGCGAAATCCTTAGTGAGTTCCCCAGAGCATACCACACACCACACATACACGTATCCTAGTAGCAAATCAAGCTACAAACATATCACATAGGCCATGCATACATAGAACCAGCAAGAATGCCATGGGCTACCCCACATGGACTTTACCTAGGATTGTCATGGGCTACCCAACATGGTCTTACATCCAATTCCATGGGCTACCCTACATGGTCTTTACCTAGGACTATCATGGGCTACCCCGCATGGTCTTACATCCAATGCCACGAGCTCCCCCCGGGGTCTTCATGCAAACCATACAATTACATTACATATCAAAACATAAAGTGATTGCACATATTCCATAAACACATAATGGGCCAGCCTTGGTGACGTAGACCCATGGGTATGGTGAGAAGACTCACCTCCGTCCGAAGAATACGAATACTTCACTCTTAATGACCCGCAACCTCCCGAACAGAATAATAACAATAATAATATCATCAATGATTGGTCCAAAAATTATCCCAATGGAGGGCCCAACCTTTAAACCCTACCCCAAAGGCCCAATCACCCTTTCATTACAAATGGGCCCAAGATCTAAGTCCAATATCCTTAATGGCCCCCCTTGGCCCAAAAAGGCCCAACCAATAAGTCCAAGGTCCAAATCGATAAAAAGGCCTCTAACTCACAGAATCCAATCAGGCCCAACAACCTAAAAGAGGCCCAAAAGTTCGACAGCCCAATACAAGAACGACCCAAACTGCCCCGCGTACGCGTAGCATACTTGTTTTTTAAGGGTTACATGTAGTGTACTCAGAGTACGCCCGACGTAAGTCTCAGTTAAGCACTTTCCCTATTAAGTGCTTATTATTCCATTCTTTTACATCCAGACTCTAGATCTGAGTCCATTAGCGCCTACTAAGGCATAAAGTTGCTAACTTTATGCCTTTGCATGTCCATTAAAACTCCAAAGTTATCATTAAGACCTTTTCAAAGTCTTTAACTCATGCACAAGGTCAAGACCTCCACCAATCTCCTATTTGTATGCTCCTAAATGGCTTAAGGACCTTAAATATGACCTTATTATCGGATGGGGACGATCTAGCCAACAAATGGGGCCCAAAATCCATCAAAAGGACCAACTACAAAAACCCTAGCTAGATCTAAAGAGCAAAAAGGAAATATGCAAGCTTTTTACCTCTAAGAGCTCTATAAGATAATTATGATGCAAGATCTTGAAGCACCCTCTTGATCCAACCTTGCTTGACCAATTCTTCTCCTTGAAATGAACACTAAAGATCACAAATGCACACTTTTAAAGCTCAAAAATGATTTCTCAAGGCTTTCAGTAATGAAATGACGTTCAAGTGTAATGGAGGCTCTCTAGGGTTTAGTCCCAAGGGCTTAAAGTCGTTTATATAGGCCTCAAGTCCAAAATTAGGGTTTTTGATCCCTAGCGCGTACGCCCCGCGCAATCCATGGTACGCCCAGCATACCTCCAAACATCCACGACCAATAAAGGTCCTATTACGCTAAGTGTACACCTAAGTACGCCTAGCGTACTATGGGACTAATAATGCAATAACTCTAATTTAAAGGGGTTCAAGTCATACCATTTATTTCTAGATGTTATAGTATTAGCATCTGTTGAAAGAATTCCTCATCTAATCCTGCAGAAAGGATAGCCACACTAGCTCACATTTCAATTCGCAAAGATGAAACAAAAAAATTTGTATCAAAAATCAAAATCAACCTAATTATCCCTGAAAAAAACACGAATCACATTAAGGTGTTTAAAATGATCCTAAAAACTATCTGGTTTCCAAGAATAAATGAAGAGACATTGGATATCCGGTGATGACAAAGGCGGTGAGTGAAGAGAGCAGTCCTTTGAGGATGGAGACTTTAAGAACGGGAGGAATAGGTGGTAGAACAGAGAGTCAACCATGTGGTTGATATCAGAAGCAGTTACACTTCTGCAGAACATGTGTGGTGTTGATGGTTTTTCATCAAAACCTCCATCATCGGCTTCTTTAACCTCTGTTTCACCATATCTCTTATCCAGCTGCTAGATTATATAGGTAAATCGAAATGAAATCTCACCTGAACATAAGGAATCATTGAAACTTCCACATACACATCGTCGATTCCTATCTCAACCTGCTTCAACTCTAATCGGTTAATTTTCCAGCAGCATATGAGAGTTAGTGCATGAGAAGGAAGAACAGTAATGGAAACTTTATACCTTGTCTTTAATGGAAGATGGAAGGTTCGGATAGCATACCTAACCCCGAAATTGAAACCAGGGTGGAGACGATCGATTACTGTCACACCCCCGGCCAAGGCGGAACACGCCGGGAGTGGGACTAAGTTCATGGATCACAGATAAACCGAATATATAGCACAAGTACAACGATAAACAAAACTGCATTCGTATTCCATCATTGAGTTTGAATACAAGGTTCTTACAGATAATAATAATACAGCAGTTGCCTTAAACATGTAAGCAAATATCAAAAACAAGCTAGCTAGGTCGTCTGTAATCCACAGCTAATCTTCTATCCGAACGCCTGGCTAATGATCCCCTAAGAATACATGTAATTTTGAAAGTCAACACAAAGGTTGGTGAGTGTCACAGGTTTTTTGCTAACCGCAGTAATACTTTAAAAAGTCCAAAAAGTATTTTCTTTGTATGTATAACAACAGTTAAAACAATGTTTGAAATGAGTCTTTAAAAGCCAAAATGTATAGTTTGTATAACTAAAACCATACGTGAAATTGTGTTTGTAATGAATCTTTGAAAGCCAAAACGTTATGTTCCATAAGTAATTCCATACTTAAAAACCGTTTTGAAAACAACCAAGTCCATGGTTGTACGGGTAACAAATAAAGTTTTCTACCAAGGTTGTAATTAACAACCGCAGATACGGATAAACAGAAATACGGATATACGGATAAAATTATCTGCCAAGGTTGATCTTAACAACTGCAGATACGGATAAATAGATAAACAACAAGTATATTTAGTAAGTGTACACGTAAAGTGTACGATACTTGTTTAAACAGTTGATAAAACTTTGAGTAGAAGCACATAACAAGCCTAAGATACGAGCTCTATAACTCGTATAAATATATAAACTTATATATTTTCATGTATGTATGAGGCATAATTAAACTACCAAGTTGATAACCGGTTATACAGTCATAGCACAAATTTTGTTGGAATGTATATGTTATTTTTATTAGTTGTATTATCTTAACAACATAACATATGAAGCTAATGAGGTTTAAAACGATTTTGTTTACTTAATATGTAAGCGTTTAAACAAATATTTCTAAAACTGGTAAAGTATTTACACAATACAATGATTTTTTTGTTTGTGTGTTTTGTATTATAAATATTACTTAGTACACGTATTACCATACACAGACGAGGACCAGACATGAAACACCGAGGGCATGATCATTTTGGTAATTAAGTTGTTCTGAAATCCAACAACCTGTGCGGCCCTTCAAACCAGATTCCCCGTACCGTAAGTAGTAAATTAATAAATACTATTTTTGTTTGATTTATGTTGCATAAAAAACGATGGTGTTATTTGTTTAAACAAAGTATTTAGAAAATAGAAATATACTAGATATACAAGTACTACATGTATCCTCCCCCCCTACGAAAATATGTAAAAGCGGGGCAGTAACACTCACCTTAATGAGCGGTTATCGAGTCGTTTGAAAATCGGGATGTGTTGTCTTGATATCGTAATCTCCGGGTTTAATCCGATTTCCTACAATTTCGTTATATATTAATATTTGGATGTGATTTGGTATTATAATGCTTCATTGAATAATTTGCTTAGTTTTGCCGATTCAAAATTTATTTAAATAATTAAATAAATTTTATCTGAATAAAGAATATTTATTTTTAATAGTTTGCAAAATTTGTAAATAATTCCAAAATTAATTAATTTTAAAAATATAAAAACTTTAATAATTCGATATTAAAATAGATAACTAAATAAATAGAATATATAAAAACTATAAATAATTTGTTTTTATTAAAATTTGGGTCAATTTGTAAAGGATTTTCCAAATGGAGGTTATTTTTGCACATTTTAATACAAGTTTCATTTACTTAGGGTTAGTTTTGAAAGGGTATTTGGTTTGGGGGTTAAAATAATTAATTCCAAAGGAAGAAATGGCCAAAGTTGTACAAGTTCGAAAGTTGAGGGACTAAAAGTATTTAATTTTTTTTAAAGTTTGGTTTCATTGTGTTTCATAACAGGCACATTGCCTCCTGTTCGTCGTCCCTCGCATGGAAACAGAAAAAAAAATGCAGCGATTGTATTGTGGTTATTTCATGATTGACGAAGGATTACCAATGATTAAAGGGGGTGTTTGGAGATTACCTACAACCGTATGGATGGCTGGAGGTGGCGGAAGTCGGTGGCGCAAGGTAGCAGTGACGATGATGCTGTGAAGATTCATGAGAAAGTTCGGCAGCCTCCTGCTGCTGATTTTTCTTCCCTTTTCCGGCAAGTTCGAAGGTAGAGGGGGCTGAGGAACTTCACAAGCAGTAGTTTGGTAGCAATGGGGTGTTTGATGGTTTTTGGGTGGTGGTAAGTGGTATACCGGGAGAGGGATAGAGAGTGTTTTAGAGATAGACAATGGAGATCTGAGACATGGAGAAGAAAGCTGGAGTTTGAGGTGTGATTCTTTTTATAGCCAAAAATGCCCACACACAACACAAGTAAGCCATACTCTCTTGGCGAAACTTGCACACAATACAAGGGAGGGAAATATCAGATTTTTGGGCTCCTTAAGTCATATGTGGGCCCCACACGGTTTATTCCCTCTTTTAATTGCCCAAAACACTAAAAACCGGGTGCCTCGGGATCCGTGCATTGAGAAAAATTTTCAAGAGTACCGTTAGATAGAGTTTAATTCAAGGATTTTGGAACATCAAACGGATTAATTTTTGGAGTTACGGATCTTCGGGAAATTGCGTTTGAAGTTTTACGTCTAAACGGCTCGCGGTGTCCGTTTTCGCGACTTTTATAAAAATTATTTCGAGTGTGAAATTAAATAATAGACTATAACCTGAGTCCAAAACGCTCTCAGAAATCCCGTCGGCATAGCGTAAGTGCCTCAACGGAGCGATTCGGTTTTACACGATTAAATAAAAACAGTGTTTTACTGTCTATTTTCTTATAATTATCGTATCTTTTGCATGCGAACTCCGTTTTGGACACTCTTTATATTTTCGGAAACAGGGAAACATGTACTTTAATATTTTAATGTTTGTTTTGCTCAAAATTGCTTAATGTAAATTTTCAGTTTTTCTAATGCATTAAGTAGCGTTGTCGTTTAAGCGGTTTAATTCGGTTGACAGTTTACACATTTGGAAGTAAGGTATCATCTGAAATCATGTCATAATTGAAATAAAATTATTTATTTTACTTCAGATTCAATAAAACTCAGTAATTCAGATACACAAGAGATTCACGGATAGATTGTTGGTTATAATAATAGCCCTAACTTTCAGGTTGTCACAATTACATTCATGTTTCTATACGGTGGTGGCGAGCAACGACGTATGGGGCGGTGGTGGTGAGAGAGTTTTGGGTCACAACTATAAAGCACAAACACTGTGATATTAGTATGGTAATTTGGAAGAGAGACGGTGATTTTCATAGTAATTTGGAAGAGAGGCGATGATTTTCATAGGGAGTCGATGGTGGTGGGCGACACTCAGAAAGACTGGATGCGACCCATGCCTTTATCCAAATAGGTGCATATCGGGCTGGAGTCGGTGGTGGTGTGGTGGAGTAATTTAATTCGGGAATAAATACGGTGGAGGACACCATTGTCAAAAAAAAGACAACGCATGTCAAGAAAAAGACAACACATCAGATTCGGAGCAACCGACTCAAAACAAACGAAAATAATGTGGCAAAGTGTAACAAAAAAAAGTAGGGTGCCAAAAATATGAAAAGGACAAACTTTTGTGGCCAATTTTAAAAATGAAAAAGCTTATTGTAGGCAAGGGCCCCCCAAATTAAAGATATATATAATAATGTTTTTTATTTTAATATTTTATTTATTTAAGCTATCCCTACTATATATATATATATATATATATATATATATATATATATATATATATATATATATATATATATATATAGGTTCATTTGCGACCACCTATATTTTGTGAGACATGAGGATCAAATTTAAGCTTTTAATCAAAACTGATCTTGTGGCTCATAAGAAAACGTGATTAACACTAATTAATCTAAAAGATTAGTTAATTAGGGGTAGATTAGTCACTAGGTTAAATTTTAGATCATCAGATTTGTTATCTTCACGTTATCACAAAACCCAAGTGTTTCAATTCTTTCTACCAATTCATATTAATCGGTCAACATTTCTTAATCTCCGATTCATGCTAATCAATCTTATATTTGCTTCGATTTGAGTGATTGAGGTTTATGTTCATCTATCGACGTCAACAATTCATTACAAGATTGTTATTGATTTTAGCTCTGTGATCATTGATTTCATCCAAGGTAGAAGTTTAAGTGCTCAGTCGATTTCTACTAATCTTCATCTTCAACAATTGCTAACGATCTTTCAAGTTGTAGGCTTTTTACTCTACATCATGATTTCATCAATTGATCAAGGTTTGATTTTGCTTCCCCTGAGTTTTTGATCAACGAATTTTAGCCATTCATCAACTGATATCGATATCTATCGTATTGATGCTTCAATTTTACTCTCAAATAAGGTGTTTTATCAATTTAAATTCATCTTAAATCTATTATCAATTCAAGTATTTGATTTCAACCATCGATTATCAATATCAAGCTTTTGGTTTTTTTCTGTGCATTTGAGCACATATTAAATGAAGATAAGCAAGCAAAAACAATGTATCTTCTTGTTATTTTGTGTTCATTGTATAAAATCAATGAGGTATGTACATAACTATTATTGTTCTTAAGCCAATTCTCTTACATTATACATGCACTCTACCTGTTTAATGAAAGTCCTGAATGAATAAAGAGTCTGATGTAGACTATGATATATCACTCCTTCCTTCCCACCCTTAAACTTTGTTACTATTTAATGATATTAACCCCAAATTCCAAGCTGATTATTCTTAACTTAGTGATGACTGGTGTACTTCTTCTTTTTGTCAGTGACTAAAGGACATACAACTGTCATCGATGCAAATGTTCAGTGCATATGTTGGAAGAAGCATATCATCCATATCTTGCCACCATTAATTAACGATGAGAACTCTAAGAAGCATATTGACATGTTGGTTTCAATGGTGCTTGATCCATAAAGAGTTAAAGTGGTTAAGAAGTTTACGGATGATGAGGACTTGGTTCATCTTTAGAATCGAAATATGTAAAGAGGATGTTTGTTTTAATTTGCTCCCTGCACTCTCTTTATTTCTTTCTTGATGAAATTGTTCCCTACTGTAACGCCCTAAAAATTACCGGTTAAAAATTTCATTTTTAATTTAGGTGAAAACGTAAAACGTCATTACAAACATTCATGATAAAAATCCACGTCTGAAAAACCGGTGACATCATAATCAGAATTCAGAGTACATCCGAGAAAATCTATAATGCGGAAAACAAAAGCGTATGTGTGATATGCTGCTACCGCGCCGGCTCCTTTCCCCTAGCTGAAGAGGTACCTGAAAACAAAACTTCAAACCGTAAGCACAAAGCTTAGTGAGTTCCCCCATAATACCCCATACCATGCAAGCATATAACAAAAAAACATTCAACTATGAGATACGGGCCCTGCCAACACTCGTGAAGATACAGGCCCTGCCCACACTTCGCTTTCTGGGAGATACGGGCCATGCCCACACTTGTGAAGATACGAGCCCTACCCACACTTCGCTATCTGGGACATACAGACCTAGCCCACACTCCACTCTCGGAGAGATACGGGCCTTGCCCACACTCAGCCGCCAACTCATATCATACAAGTATCACACAAACAACAAGTATAGACAACTCTATCATACTAGCATATATCGTAATCAACTCAATTAAGAGATACGGGCTCGGCCCACACTCTAATACTAACGTCTCGTCTATACAGGTCGGCCTTGGTGCCTTAGACCCGTTACTACTGAAAGGAAACTCACCTCGAAATAACTGCTGGTCTATGTGGGAACCGACTGTCTGCTGTTGTTGCTACTCCGGAAATCCTTCGGCTGTAATTCCCACAACATACTCAATCAATCACTATTTACTGTCCTTTGGGTGAAATGACCCTTTTACCCCCGACCATGCCCTAAGTCAAAGTCAGAGTCAACTTCCAGTTGACCCGACTCGCCGAGTTGGCTATCCAACTCGTCGAGTCCATGTCCAAACGACTATCCCGGATTCTGTTTCTACTCGTCGAGTTAGGCGTTGACTCGACGAGTTCTCCATCCAAACCGATGTTCAAGTCCTTCATCCTACTCGCCGAGTGGTATGAACAATTCGGCGAGTTCATCTTCATCTGATGAACACCTATGCTGCGACTCGCCGAGTTGTATGAATAACTCGCCGAGTCTGATCTTGATCTAAGGAGATTGTTTTGAACTCGCCGAGTCAGGGCATCGACTCGCCGAGTTCCATTATGGGTGAGTTTTGGCTTCCAACTCACCGAGTCCCTCCTGGACTCACCTCACGACTCGACATAACAAAAAGGGGGCAAACCCGGAGACTCGGTACATCTCAATATCATAACATCAACCAGTCCGGGCACATCTCAATATCATCACATCATATAAATAAACAAGAAGGAAAATAATCATACCCGTCACCACATCGGGTGCTGCGCGTGCCTCCTCGGTGGTCAGCTGGAATGCTCGGCTCCTCACCACTGGAGCCTCTGCCTTGCCCTGTCGGCCATCTGTGATCCGCAGGGTCATTGGGGCTGGCGCCTTTACCGACGCTGAACCTGTCAACTGGGGGCAATTGGCCTTCTTGTGGCCCCTCTGGTTGCAGTGGAAACACAGTAACTCAGATGTTCGTATCGCCGCAATGGGAGTAGTACAATCCCTGCTAAAGTGCCCTGTCTTGCCGCACTTATAGCAGCCTTCTGATCCCCGCCGACATGCTCCCTCATGTGTCCTGCCGCATTTCCCGCAGCGGCCCGGTCCCCCTTGGCCTTTCGGCCTCCCATCTGATCCCCGGGACTTCTTTCCTGAAGTCCCAATCACCTGACCCACCTCTGCTTTCCTCTTCCGAATGTGCTCTAAATCAATCTCCCTCTCCCTCGCCCTGGCGATCATGGACTCCAGGGTAGGTCAAGCTGAAAAGCTAACATGCTCCCGGATGTCGGCCCGAAGCATATCATGATAACGGGTCCTCCTCATATACTCGTCACCTGCATACTGGGGCACCAACAAGGCCCTCTCCCGGAACTTGGCGGTGATCTCCGCCACAGTCTCAGTCGTCTGCCTCATATCCAAAAACTCCCTGGCCAGCTACTGAAGCTCGACAGCCGGTGCAAACTCTGCCCTGAACCTGGTCACAAAGTCCGACCAGGTCATAGCCTCGATAGCTGAGGCTCCCAACGAGTCACCCACTGACTCCCACCAGTCTCGAGCTCGATCCAGCAAACATGCTGTTGCATACCTCACATTCGACCCCTTGGGGCAGAAGCTAGTCAGCTGTGCAGACTCGATGTCTGCAATCCATCGTCTGGCGGCAATGGGGTCTTTCACCCCGTGGAAATCCGGCGCACCGCTGCCCCTGAAGTCCTTAAAGGATAGTGTGCGAGATCCCGACTAGCCAGATGCCATGTCGCTCCTGAACGCCCTAAGGCGATCCTCCATCAACTCGATGATCCCTTCCTTGATCGACCCGAAGATAATGGGGGTCGATCGAACCCAACCCCTCTCCTGAACTGCCAACCGCTGGCCTCGGGCGTAGTACCACCATTCTGAAATACAAGAAATGACAATTATTAGCGATACTAATACCCCTGGAGGGATCCTACTCACTACAAGTCCCCTGGTCTTATCTTGGCCTTCCTTGGTTCGGGTACGGATCCTCTGCTTTCAGTAGTACGGGCCCATACTACCTTCCACATCTATCTATACCTTCTTCAAGGACTGC